CAAGGTCGTGAGTTCGATCCTCACCCGGGGCAGCTACTTTTTCCTTCCTCCGAGTTCGTATCTCGATTGGGCTTCCTGAGCAGTACCGGGTTCGAAACCAACTAAGTCAGACGTTTATTTCCGAGCGGGAATGGTGGCCCCGGCTTGGGAAGGGAAATTCCTGAGTACCAGGTACTCCCGGGGCGTAGGCCGAAGTTTGTAGTAACAACCATGAGAACCAAATAGACCCTGAACATATGACGTCACACATGCTTGAGAGATGTGATTTTAAAATATGATCATTCTTCCTTTTACCGAAAGTAAATTAGAACAATCGATAAGAGTCATGTGAAACGCGCTGTCCTTCCTGAATGCCAGTTTGTAGTGTTACCAATACTTTTCGTGAACGCACTTCCTATTGACACAGCCATGTTAGAACTACGCATATGTTTGCGGTCAGCATAGTCTCAAGAGGGAACTGGGATTACAGGGAGCTTAGATGTGGTTAGAAGCAGGAGGGTAAACTGGCTCTCCGATAAACCTTCACCTAGAAGTGTGCGCGTCTCATGCATGGATTTCGAGAACGCTAATACCGCGAAGTAAGATGAATAGAAGTCACTTGCTTGTAATGATGAGTTTTTTTTTCCTCTTTACGAGAGCAAGAATGAAGAATGGAGCGGAGGAAACTTGCAAACAATTAGGAAATTAAGCTACATCTCGACGTTTTATTTAAAATTTCATATGACAAAGCAGTTTATTATTTTTATTTTGCGATGAAGGAAAGAAGAGGTGAGATGCGTGACACGACTCGCGTTATTTTGCTTGAGTAACAATCGCAGTCAGAATGACTTTGCATGAATGCAATCTCTAGTACTAAAGTACTCGTGAATTCGTCGACATGCGCAAAAACGAACGAAGAGAGATTTTCTATGGTGATTAATCGAAATCACTCACGCGCACATGTCTACCTTGAACTTATTGCACATGGTACAGTACCTACCATATCGTGAGTACATCTGCCTCGTACTTCGAAGAAAAAAATCAAATCAGTAAAGCAATTATAGCTGAGCCGATTCGTCGCCAAACGACAAGACTTGGATTAATTTGACAGTCTCAAGCGGTCCAATGGTTAATCTCGGTCATTCATCCTGATCCAGTAGGATCAGAATGTTGCCAAGTTGTTAAGAATACAGCCCTCCATAGCTGCTAAGAATGAGGCAATAATGGAACCCACAGAATAAAAAAAAACGAACATGCTCTCCACGTGCAATGCCGTACCGCGTCAGATCCTCGTATGCATTGCCCGCAACGCCAAATGTTATATGGAATTTCACGCGAGTCGTTTTGGACAGGTGTAAACCAACTTTTGTTCCCTTTGATGCGTCACGCAGTCAACGATTTGATGGAAGGAGTGTGGGACGTGTCGGGCTGGTTCCGGATGGTGACGAACATCTTCAGCTGGTACACCTTCATATATCTGCCTCTTCAGGGGGATTCTGAAGAATTCTTGCAATGGATCGGGGTGGAGAACATTCGTGCCTGGATGTCATGGGACCCCCAAGTGACACCTTGGTACATGTTCACTTCACGACGGGATCCTCATGAAAACCCCTTTCTGCTTGAAGATACCGACGAAGTCCTCCTCAATGATGACCTGCCCCTCATCTACAGCCACGAAAACTGAATAAACGAACTGTCAACAGCGCAAACGAGTAATTTTTTTTTCCATAGCTGCAAGGAAGGGTACAGAGTGCTGGAAATGTCACCTCCCTTTTTGTCTAGTACATTAGATCGGCATATCCCTTGTATGCGTTCAGGGTAATTAATTGACCTTCCCAACTCTTTTCCATTGATACCCTAGTTCCTCAGTTCCTATTTTCGTGGGTATAGAATTTCTCATTCTAAAGTCTGTGACTAAGAATACGCTAATAAGTTCCTAATCTTTTCCTTCACCACTGTTGAGAGCGGACAAAAACACTACTTCGTGGAACATTGCCTTGTACATCACAATAGTCATTAGGTCATTTTAAGAACAGCCGGCACCACATGGACATACTTGTACTCTGAACGAGTTTTAAGCAGGGGGGCTTGACCTACGCATTATGCCGAGGATAGTCGAAGATAGGATTCTGTTGTGCTTAAAGAGTCCCCAAACTCGGTGACCCGAGCAACGACATCTATTGAAGGAAACGAGGACACGGAACTTCAGGCGTAGCTCAATAGGTAGGGAGAGGTGGAGCAAAGGTAACGATGGGGAAATCATTTACGCTACTTCTTCATTCAACGAGTTTACAGTCCGGCCATATCATCAGGACCTCAGCCTTATAGAGGGACGGCCTGCCTTTTGTCTCAAAGAGGGCCGTGAGTTGACGTGGCATGGCTTTCACAAGATCCTGGAAAGGCCCCTGCAAACTCGTGCACCATGCAATTCAATTCTGTCCCCTTGGGTCAGGGTATGGTCGACAGGTCCTAATAGATTGGCCTGGCAGTGTACAAGAGATACAGTGTCTCAATTTATATACATAACATGCTGCTCTTCATACACAGTGCGCACTTCTCCATGTTTCGCTTGGCTAAACATGTGTTGTCTTCATTTGTATGAGCACCAGGGAAAATAATTAGGAATCCCACCTTTTCCCTCCTCTGCCACAATTTCCAATTTGATGGTAGGTTTATTTATCAATCTTTAATTAGCAAAATTAGACTCGGCTCCTATCACATCATCTATCTAGTCCAGCGCTACTCTGGTCACATGGAGAGTTGGATCACGTAGCTTCCTGTCACGGGATGTAGGCAACTACGGAGGTGTGACCAGACCCGAGATGAAAGGTTATGCTAACAGAAAGGAAGCGAGTTCGTTTTGTACAGAAAAAGAGGGATCGTAGGAGAAACCCGAAAGAACGACAGAAGCGCCTTAGTCTCTTTTCGTTCTCGTGACTCCTTGGGAATTGATTCCTCAAAGCTACTCCGGACTCCGATCATGGAATGAAGGAGAGTTAGTAACGAAAGGTTGACAAGCGCACATGATTTCGTGATGAACAACAGGGGAAGTGAATAGAGGGCGAAATTACAGCCAACGGGAGCTAACTAGAACCGAAGCTAACATGAAATAACTCGAAAGGATAGGCTGCCTCAGGCTAGCGGGGTTCCCGATGGGGGTTCTCGTCACAAGACTGTACCAGAGACAAGTACTCACACAACAAACATTTGGCTTCTTCTTTCCCAGTATGAGGTATTCGCGAAAAATGTTGCTAATCAAATCAGGGCACACGTGGAAATTGTTGGCAAGACTTCCGTGTCGGCGAGTTTTCCTTCTGGACGAGCTGACCGACTATTTCAACAGTCCTTGAATTTCGCTTTTGGTACTTGATGTGGTTTACTTGAGTTCTATCCCTTCTAGGATGACCTCTGGGATGACTTAACATTGTGAATAATCTTGTGGATTCCCTTCTTGGAGACTGCATAACCTTCGTCCTTGCATCAATTTATGATAAAATATGAATGACCTTTCTCGGAAAGTGCAGTAATGTACTACGTCCACCACTGATTTTCGGAAACGTCCTACAAGTATGGGCTTATTTACTTTCATGTTGCAAGCTGACGATACCATATTAGCCGATAGCAAGAAATCTCTTCAGCCCATTAAACCAAGAACCCTCTGTATTTAGCAGGACGTTTCTATTCCAGCTAGGCTTGGTTCAGCAATGCCAGATCGTACACGTGGCATGCAGATGCCAACTCAAAGTTGACACCAAGGGATATAAATTGGGGGAATTACTTAACACGTGAGGTTTCTCATACCTCTAGAGTTGGAACAGGAGGAGACTGGTTCTAACAGAGCCTGATAGCTAGGATGAGGTACTATATAACAAGATAAGGAAGAATTTACACAGGCAAGACATGTTCAACATGGCAAAACCAAGTTTGTTAAATTACAACTAGGCTACTTTACAACTGGAGCATGGGATTGGAGGTACCAACAGCAGGGCGACAAAAACAGGAGGTACATCTACATCTTCAGTGAAGGAGAAGATAAACTCCCCATCCTTTTCCAATGTTGTATGTATATGGAGCCAAGAACAAATCAACCACATGTTCATCTGATGACAATAAAAATCAGAGATCTCAAAGACTCATAGGACCATTCAAAGGATGACTGACAAGAGGAAGGCTTGGCAGCTTTTCTTGAGAATGCTCTCTGCTCAAGGAAGAAAACCCTTGAAAGGGACTAAAAGGGATTGCATAAAGTAACCTCTAATGCAGTTCCTTTCAATTACAAAGGAGTAGGGTAGTAGAACAGGGACCCCTTCACAGTCTAGTCTATTCTCCATACCCTTTTATTCCAGTGAGACCCAGACATTCAGAGCAAAAGAAAAGAACAAGTTAACAGCATTTGAACTGAAAATGTACTGGAAATTTCTCAACATTCAAAGGTACAACAGTCACCAATGAAGAAATCAGAAAACTGGACAATAAAGCAGAAGCAGAGAACAACACCCTAAGTATAGTCAAGAGAGGAGTGCAAAGACAGTGGCTAGGTCATGTGCTGAGGATGGAAGGGGATCAGCTCCCCAAAATCAGTCCTCAGTGAAAGTCAGCTGGCAAGAGACAACAGGGTCGCCCCAGGCTTACATGGGTTAACTTGGTCATGCAAAACACCAGCATGAACCTGAAAGTGGTCAAAAGCAAGGCAGAAGATCACCAGAGTTGGAGACATTTTGTCAGAGAGCATGTTTGTTAGGATTCCTCATAGAAAGAAGGGTTGAAGAGTACAAAGGAGTTTTTTAGATTGTTGATCACAATATAACTTATGACAATCGATTTAGATGACCCAAACCTCTGGCCAAAAGTCTTGCCATTATCCCTTTATCTTGTTCAAAGATACTGTATCTCAAAGTGTGAGCTTCTCCTTGCATGATTGGATGGGTAATTCTCCATAGGACAAAAGATGGACACAGGCCCAAAACCATGTTGATTCAAGGCATACTTTGTCATGTAAATGTCTTATTCAGATATCTATACAAAGTTTGGGGTATATAAATACCACCAAAAAATCAATATCAATTTCAATTTCCCAAAGCCAAAGTCAATATTTTGTTTGTTTCCTTCCCAATGTCAATGGCTGACTGAAGAATCTCTTCACTTTCCTTGTCTACCTCTTTGATCTTCTTGTGAATATCAGCTCTTTCTTTCCGAAGCTCATTTGCCTCCTCCATCCCCTGACGTGCAATCTCTTCAGCCTCTTTCATCACCTTCTTCATCTTTTTCTGAAATTAAGATATGGGACAAGTACTTTAAGAGTCCATATTCACAATTCACAGTGTGACCTATCAATGTGGATAAAGCTAGCTATGGTACTTCATGGTACTTCTTTCCATCAAATCAGATGGCACTACATGGCATTAAAAAATTGCTTTTGACTAATGATGGAGTGCTTTTGCCAAACTTTATGGAAATCCATACCTTCAGTTAAAGCTTGTGCTCAAAACGCCTCCTGCATTCTCTAATACAAGCATCCAGCCACACATACACTTGTTCCTTGCACTAGCAGAGGTGGATGCATTATGAGTAGGGATGCAAGAAGCACTCTTTTTATCATTCAAGGGAATCTTAAGCTGCATCACACATTATACAACATGTTGATATGCCTTTAAATTTGTCAAAAACTTTCTTTTATTAATCCATATACAATTTTAACAAAAATTGGGTTGATTGGATAAAAGTTATCATTACTATGAGAAACAATGTGAGATTTTCATACACTGCTAATAATTCAAGCAAAATCTAACCAGACTGCCCTACTTCACTGCTTCCATACACAAAGTGTCTATTTCCCTCTGATTAACCTTTGTACAGTATCATAGTAAAGTTGAACATGTCCATGGATTCTGATATCTCAAAGAGGATGTTACAGGTATGATTTTTATTTTGGCTCTTCTCATTCACTTAGCCATGTATGGCACCATGCCATAAAGTACAGAAAATAACTTGAAGTCATAGCTATTCAAGAGAAGATCTGATGAGTCTCAATTGAAAATAAAATCACACTTTTAAGGCTCAAACATAACCAGGTTCAAGAAACAACCACTGAGAGAATAAGAGAATATGAAGAATGGCTCTATTACCTTCCAGTTAAGCACTTTTAAAGATGGATTAGGTGTCACCCTTACCCATTTTGTGGAAAGCGGGAAGTAAATACTTCCCAGAAAACATTCAACCCTCCTCCTTCCCTCTGGGAAGGCTGCACATAAGAAAAAATGTGACCATGAAAGGATTTACTAGCAGTATCACCTCTAAAGACATACTGCCTACTTCAACCTTCCATATCAAAGTAGAGGAGCTTTTAGCCAGTTCAGTCCAATTAGTTACCAGGTCATAATGGGTGTTTCTTGATTCTCATCTGGTTTGGTCATATCTTATCCAATTAATGTGCACAGTGGCTTTGTATAATAGAAATTAAATGCCAGTATCAATGAAAAACTCACAAGCATTCTCCTCTTCTCTTGCCTAGTGTCCTCCACAGCTTTACGATAACCTTCTCTGTTGGCTTTTACCAAATATTCAGCACAATCCTGCTCCTTGATTACCCTGGAAGACAATACCAAATACTGTATATGAAGTGTATGACACTTAGACAAGATCATTTGATGACAATATTGACTCAACTGTAACTTTGCTTTCTTTATCTTCTCTTGTTTGTAATCAATGGAATTCTGCAGCTGATCACAGTTGCTTCTCAATTCTTGAAGTCTGGATTTCTGTGTGGACAAGTCAACATCATCATTTCGGCCTTTCTGGCTTTCAGCTGCTATGGACCAAAGTTCACTTTTCAGCTGCTGCATCTCTTGTTCCAGCCCTTCAATCTCTTTTGCCTCTTTTTCCAGATGAGCAACAAGCTGAAAACAGAAAATTATGCTGTTAGTAAGTCAATTCACTTCTGATCTTGACCTTTTAAGAAAAAGTGGGCTCACAGCAGTTTCCTCTTTCAGCAAAGCACTCTTGTCTTTTCGTAATTGCTGCAATTTTTGATGATGTTGCTCATGAGTGGTAGCAAGATGGGGGATGACTACTTCTTGAATCTCCTTCAACTGAAGCTCAGAGTCTTGAGCAAATGTCAAGTTCACAACACAACCTAGTTCCATGTCTAGTGCCATTTGTTTTACAGCACGGATCTTCTCATCTCGCTTTAATGAGAAACATTGCATTTCATCATTGCATTAATATTTCTCTCTTGTAAATTGAGTGAGGTTCTCAGTGAAACATCAAACAAACCTTAGCTTTAATTTTACTGAGCTTGATTTCATCATCATGGCAGATTTCATCAACAGCTTGGATATCTTTCAGAATGTTCTCCTTTCTTGATATGGCTTTGGCTTTTCTATCCATCCACTCAGCTGCCTCTTCACTTGACATCTTTTGTTGGTTAACCATCTCACGCAACTTCTCATTCCTGGACATTTTCTCCTTGATTTCAGTGACTGAAAGTAAAAAAATAAAAAAATAAAAAGAAGTACCCATAGGTGCAGCTCAAGTGCATGCAACCTGTGAAAGCAGCCATAGACACAGGGTAGCACATCTACAATGCCACATCTATCAGGATCATACTTTCCAGTCAAACAGCTTCTTTTTTTTTTTAAACTAATGGAACCATAGGTGCAAAATTATTTTCCTATCTTTTAAATGCACCATTCCAAGGTATAGGGTACAAGAAGCCTAATTGGCATGGAGGCACCAGTATGCTCCATACACACAATTTGATGTGATATTTTATGATTTTGGGTACACTCTCAAGGCTCTAACAAGATCTGTAATTCCACTTGTCCAGGTCAATATTTCTAAGGTTTACTCATGCCAGGCATGCCAGGTATCTGGATACCTGTATCTGATTAATCCAACTTTTAAGTAAAAATATTGTATGACTACCAGTATAATACTGTAGATACTTAGCAACATGAGAAAGATGCATATTTAGATCATTTGCTTCCTTAGGTAGATCTAGATTGGAAGGTTTTAGAGGCAATACCTACTGAATAACATATACAAACAGATAAACATGAAAAGTCTGATTTACCTGTCTGAAGCAGTTTCTCGTTTTTCTGTTGGATTTCTGCTGCTCGGCAAGCACAGTGAGTCTCAAGGTCAGACACATATTTTTCCATAGTCAAAATATTTTTATCATAAACTTGGATGGATGCCTTCAACTCCTGTCAAGATAATGAACCACAAGATCACATATATATTTCAAGAAAAGGCATACAATGAGGATGAATGACCACATATGGGGCTATATCAAAAGTATAAACTTATATAAATACAGTGCCATCCAAGAAAGGCATGAAGCATTGAATCTTTAAAGTCATTGTAGGCCCATGCTCAGAGTGGCTCCATGAAACTGAGAACATCTTTCAAAGAAGATTTTCCATACACTACAAAGGTAAAAAAGGTTACCAGGAAACTATCAAGTGTGCCTGAGCATAATGTACATCATGTGTAAAAATCATTGTAAAAATTAGTCAACAGTACATGGAATATCATGTCAATTGAGTAAAAACAGCCAAGATACAAGTACAAGGTACTGACTAGAGATGGCAGGCTCCTATGGATGGAAGGCAACAGTGGCGACCTTAATGGTAGGTAGGCCAGCTATTTTGAATTGATTTTCCATCAATAGTTCCCTTTCTCATTGTCAGTGGGTTCTCATCACCAATGCAGCAAATTATTCTGATTGCTTAGAGTTAATGTTTTTTGCTGTGAGTTTCCAGAAATATGCTAGTAAACATGCTCATTCCTAAACTGAAGACAAGGCTGCAATCAAAGTCCTGTCCATGAAGAGCTTTGGAGCTTGCCAAGAGATGAAAGACTTCCCAAATGCAGATGGACATTGACCAGCAAGGTTTGATTATTGAAAATAGTTAATTTACTAATAGTGAGCATATGACCAATATATCAATACATATGTAACATGTGAACAAATATGTGAGTTCAGAAGCCCCATAATTTCCCCCTGATGGTTGAAACTCATGAACTGCTTGTTATAATAGCTAATGAATTGTGGTTGGTCAAATGCAGGCATCCCAATATGACATTTCTTGCACTGTTGACTTTAACTTGGAGCAGAACAACTGACTATCTCAAGTTGCATTCCATGGAATGCAGAAAGAACTGCAAAACTTCACCCAAAACTTTCACTTGTATGTTCTTTCTTTCACCAACTCTATGTTTAGTATTAAAAATGTAGATACCTTTTTGCATTAATTACTACAATAAGAAGTGCATTGTATTAATCAGGAACAGGAGTACCATGAACACAATAGGTATGCATATGTACAATTTCATATAATAATGTGTACACCTGTGAATTGCCATTGAGTGAACAGAGGGCAAGAGAATTTTGAGCTTCTCATAGAGGCATGTAACAACTCTGAGTAATGATACAAGACAATATTATGTCCTTCCAGGACACACACATAAGGGGGAGGGAAGGCCATGTCTCCACCTTCTCCTAGATTGAAAAGCTGGAGCTAATCCTGCTCAAGCAGTGACTAATTACAAATAAAATTCGCACTCATATGCTTTCAGTCATTCTAATTCCCATGGTAGTCTCAAACATTTACACAAGTAAATAAGTAAATTGAATACTTACCTTGACACAATGTTGTTTTTCTTCTCTCTCAATTCTTAATCTGGCTATTTTTGTTCCACATGCAGCAACATCCTCTCCTACATCAGCAACTCCTCGAAGAGTACCCCTAAAATAGCCTCCTGGAAAGACATTCAAGAAACCAGAATTAAAGAAATGATCTATCTAAAACACTCTTTAGATGAATAGTTCTTTTAGATGGATATTATGTCTGGAAAGTACACGATCACAAGTAATCTGCTGTAAAGCATACATGCTGCTTCAATGATGACACCAAGGATTTGCTGCCTGCCAACATTAGGTGCAGGTTTGGGCTGACACTGACTCTGGCATACATAGAAAATTATTTTCAAGAAATGCAATCTGAAAAGGCAAAGAAAAGGTAATTTGTAATGCTCTGGCAGTGACAGAATTTTGGCCACTGGCTTCTATGGTCAAAGTACAATCTCAACCTGACCCATAGTCAATGCTAGAGCTCCAATATTTCTCATTTTTAAGATGCTACAATAGTAAATTTTCAAGAAGACAAACCTGCAACAGCTTATTGACTTAGTATTGGGAAGCTGCTATTAAAATTTGTTCCTTATAATGATTGCAAAATCAAATGTTTATTTTATTTTACATTTTTGAACCCATGTCCAAGCAATTCACAGTTAAAGAATTCTACAACCCATAGATGGCACAAGGGCTAAAAAAACACTTCTCCTAGGTGCAGCTTCAAACCTAAACTATAATTATTTTACTGCAAGCTAGGAGCAAAAATAACAGCAGAACCTGCAGGTAGCTATGCTCTGGGGGTTGTCAAGGTTGGTCATTTTTCAGAAATCATAAGGCATTGCTACCTTTTTACCTTTAGCTCATAATGAAAAAGAAAGGAGTGGTACCAAAAGAGAGTTTTCAGAAAGAACACATACAGTAGTTGATTACAAATTCATTATTTAGTCAGTTTTTATGCCAGGAACTTGAAAAAGTGAAAAATCAGCATATTTACCTCATGCCACTGTCATGGCTACATCCAGGTAGAAACTTTTCTTTAAAGTTGCAAAAACACTTTCATGACATCTTAAAAATGGAATTTTTCTTGAATTTTGTAATTGTAGGGATAGGTCAAATTAGACTGAATTTTCTTCCTTGGCTATTTGCCTTATTACAACTCCCTACTAGGATTAATAAGCAGTACTTTTTATATCTTCATCCACTTGAAGTAGAAAAACAATTGATAATCTGAGATTTGTGAATTGTTCCTTAAATTGAAGTTTCAAATTAATTCCTTATAGCTTAAGTTTAACTTAACCCTTCAAGCATTGAGTTCTGACCTGACCTCCTAAGTGATGATCACATGGTGTATGTGAAAAGTGCCTGAAGGGTTAAATATGACTTATTCAATAAATACTTATAAATCTAACTTTCAACAGGAATGCATACACATGGCAAAATAGTCTGATATTCTTCACTGGACTTTCCATCTCTGGATATGCAAAATACAAAGCCCATGCAACGTTCCATCTCAAGTATTTCAGTCATGATGTCATCTAACAAGATCCAGCAAGATTGTTTTTCCATTGCAGTCCATAGCTAGACTCCATCTGACATCAGTTTCCCTAAATCCAGTCATATTTTGAAACAGCTTACAAAATTTCTGGTATCTTGTTCCTATTTCTTGTCATAGGGTATCTACAGGGTGTCTGAAAAGTCACTCCCTATTTTTAAATTGTTATTGCTCCTAAACCAAAGGAGATATTTAAAATTTTCTTTAACTGAATTGAAGCTTATTTTTTACCGTTTGAATTGAAAAGCTTTATTACAAAGCTAAAATTCAATGTAGTCTCCAGCATTGTCCACACATATCTGTAACCTTACTGGTAAATTTTCAACAGATTTTCTCAAGAAGTCACCTGGTGCATTGCCTAGAATATCACGAATTTTGTTTTCAAGCTCATCAATGGTCCTTGGTTTCGATTTTTAAACTTAATTCTTTTGCCCAGCCCCACAGAAAGAAGTTGCACGGCGTTAAATCTGGACTTCAAGCAGGCCATTCCGTTGGCCCTCGACGACCTATCAAATTAAGTCGCTCGTTCTTCTATGCTTAATTTTTCAGCCATTATTCACTTATAACAGAAATGGTAATGATTAAGCTTAAAACAGTGAAAGAACGGTTACAATATCTCCTTCAGTTTAGGAGCAATAGCAATTTAAAAAGAGGGAGTGACTTTTCAGACACCCTGAAAATGTACCAGTAAGGTTACAGATATGTGTGGACAATGCTGGAGACTACGTTGAATTTTAACTTTGTAATAAAGCTTTTCAATTTTGTTATAAAGTAAACGGTAAAAAATAAGCTTCAATTCAGTTAAAGAAAATTTTAAACATCTCCTTTGGTTTAGGAGCAATAACAATTTAAAAATAGGGAGTGACTTTTCAGACACGCTGTATATTTTGCTTTACATTAATTGTAACCTTTCTTGCATCATCTGTGACAGTTTTTCAGTATAAGTAAGCATAATGATTTATGCAAATTTTCCTCCTCACATTCCATCTCTTAGACATGACTGGATTTTTGCATTAATTTTTCTCAGTCCTCACTATGTTCAAATCCCATTTGACAGCACCTGAGACTTCACAGTATCACTATGAATTACAATCATTGTGTCACTGACCTTGCTGCTGCATGTGAAGCCATGCATCAAATGTTCAACCTGACTTTGGCATTGCATCCTGCTGATGTTGGGGAATGAGGTTTCTAGAACAAATGGTCTGAATATTTTACTCCCCAAACCCCAACTTAACAATGTAGAGTTCTAAAAAAGTTACCTTTCTTAGCTACAGCTTACTGCAAGGGTTTTGTCATAGTTGGGGGGACAGGTAGGGTGGACTTTTGGATGGAAGTAAACATGTGATGCTTCTATGGTGTTATGTGTGGGCTTTTCTACATTTTTCTGGTTGTTCATTGTGCTTGCTGAAGGCACATACATCTAGACAGAATAATAAGGAACTCACGCAGATCTGACTCAAATGAGTCACAAAACATCTCTTTCTCCTCTTCTTCTGTTTCTTCACTGGTAGCCATGAAGCTCCTATAACTATTCAGCACACTTTGAAAGACTACTCCCTAAAACAAATCCACATATCAGCAAATGAATACAAAGAGAATAAAACAATACATATTTTTCAGTTAAAATATAATAGGCAAGACTGAATAATAATGCAAATAAATAATACTTGAAATACAGGGATTAAAAAAAAAACTACCATCATAAGAACTGATGTTTCTTGTCTCATATTGAAGCAAATGAAAAATTTTCACCTTCATCAGGCTATGTGGGGTCACTTTTGGACCCCAAGTAAATTAGCCTGAATCTGAAGTAAAGAAAGCCAACAGGATTAAATGAACTCCTTATTTCTTGAATTTAGTTTTACTGGAATGATTGAACATGTGAGTTATGCTCTAAGGCCTATAAGTGTATTTTTCAGATTTCCTGGTTAGGGTTAGGAAGAAAGAAAGAGGAAAGGTTAAACATTCTTTTGCCAAAGCCAAAAAAATTTACAGAAGCAAATCAGTCATGTTGGGGAACCACTGTGAAATACCTAGTCAAGGATCCAATAATGACTGAAAAAAAGCATTCCCTCTTCCTTTTTCTCATGGCTCCACAGCCCCTTGGTAATTAGAAATTGAAAAGAAAACTTATTACCACCTTCAATCTCCATCTTTCCTGTTAATCAAGTAAGGGGGATAAAGCCTATCATTGAGACTTCCTCTCACCCTTTGTAGTCATTTTCCACTCCCTAGTCTGACTCATCTATCCTTGTGATAAGAGCCTCAATAATTCTTCACCTCCCTTCCCTCAAGAGGTGGCATACTTGGCATGGAAAACTTGTGACAATCAAAGAAAAAAAAAAAGAAGATAAGTATCAGAATCAAAACTTCCTATCACTAAAAATGCAAGGGGACACAACCATGGAGTTTTAGGCATCTTCTTTCAGTGTTCCATATTGTGTTCAAGAATTAATCATTTTCAGGTGGTTTTCAGCAATAGATGACTTAATCTTTCCTCTGTTTAACCACTTCCCCCTTTACTACAGTATCATGAAGTACTTTTTGATATGTTGACTTTCTTTTTACATCTTAAAATTATATCGGTACCCTTTATTGCCTTTTGTATGCCTAGATATGGAAACAAGCATTTTCAGATATTTCAGAGGATTCAAAAGCACAAACAGCAGTAGATGTTGTATCAGGATTGGTGTCTAAAGGGAAGAGAAGTGGATGCCATTCTTCCTGAATTTGCCCAGTAATTTCAATGAGGTCAACCATCCATGCCAGAAAGGCAAGAAGAGGAGGCCAATTCTGGCGTGTGATGCATTTCAAAGAGGACTTGTTGATTGTTGCCCCAGGATAACCAAGAGCCTGAGCTGTGACAAGAACTTCTTCATCCTCAGCCATCTGCCCTGGTGGGACCTGTCCTGATTGCAAGGTATCTGCATGCTCCACCAATGCACATTCTTTGAGGAACTAAAAGGTGAAAAAGAATATGAGAGGGGAAGCAAATGAGCTTCATGTTACACCCTTTCATGAATGAAAATAACTAATCAGAATCACTCATGTATAACAACCTAACACTTGATCAATCTTCTCATTGGGTTAGGCTCATTATCCCATTAATGCACTTACGTGATTCATTCACACTTGAATACAACAGTAAAGTTCACAAAAAATGGCTATACCATTTTTTGGAAGATACCACCTTTTAGGAAGGAAGGCCATGGTAAAATTTATCTGAGTCATTAATTGAGGGTGAATTAGTTCATCTTGTATCTTCGCATGAGGTCCATTGAATTTTGTGTTGTTTTAAACCTTGTTAATATAAATCTCAAATCCTCATTAGTCTCCTAAGACATGCGCATATGTCAAATTCCATGAAAATTTAAATTTTTCTAAACTTAAATTTTTCTGGGTCTAGGGAGGTTAATTGCTCCCTTTGTGATATTACAACATAAGAAGCCATATACATTTTTATATTTTTCCATTTTGCACATAAGTTCTATGGATTACATTCAACTATGGACTGTGCACCTGATTTGTTCAACTATTCAGTATTTATTATAAACTTGCAATTTTAAATCCGAGAGGCAGACAACAGACTGCACCTTGAATATGCTGTAAAAATCTTTGGTGTTCTTTGGGCAGTGAAGGACACGTGGATTTTCCATAACCAGAGGAAAGCCTTCATTCATGAGGAAGTTCTGGACCTTTTGGATACATAGGGACTGAAACTCTTGATCATTGATAGGCCTCGATTCTTTCTTCACAACAGATCCACCTCCAGCAGAGAACCTAAGACAAATTCGCTTGAATTTGAAATTCAGAATTATCAGCATTGTCATGCACTTTTACAGAAATATTTCATTGAGTTCAACAGCTTTTCAAATGACCTTGATACCAATGAAGTTATAAATAATTGCCACAGTCACATAAAAACTTTTTTATTTTTAAGGGTGACAGTTAGAACATGTTAATGATTAAGTAAGAATTAAAACTGAATAAGTACTTATTTGAAATAGACCAATTGCCTCAAGATGTCCTAAATGCCTTCATCTCTTCCAATCTCACTTAAGGGGAGACAATGAGCAAAAAATTGAGATATCGATACACATATAACATACAATGACTATTTCCCAAATTACTCCTTCAATATTGGTGCCAGAAACCTGAAATTTGGCATGGACACTCAAAAACGACAAACCTGGAATGTGTTAGGACCAGTTTTGATTATTTTTATTTTCATGACTGAAGTAGGGAGCTAAGAAACAACTGCCACCAAATTATTTAATAACACGACAGAAATGGTTGATTTTTGCTTGGAAAAATGGGAAAATCCATATTTTTACTCCCAACAATCTGTAGCTGTAGGTTTAATCATGGAGTCCTACAAATATGAAGAAACTTGGTTGATCTTTTTTGCAGTGGCTTGGGAATTCCAGATGTACTAATATTTTAGGTTTTTCAAGAACATCTCAGAAATCACTGGAGCTTGATGGAAAAATTATACTGCAACAAGATATTTGGAATACAAGCTTTTCAATGGTACCAACTATATTTACTTTAGCAAAGCATCTCAATTTTAATTTATTTCTTGCTCATAGTCTCTCCCCTTAAGAGTGTGCAGACTTTTAAAAAAAGAACAAAATTATGGTTCATAGTTCCAATCTGATGAAATTATAGCTTGTAAAAACAGTAATTTTTCCATGGATTTGTTTGAATTTTGACAACTCAGAGGAAAATTTTCACTTTAAGACCAAAGTTTAAATAAGAAGTCCAGGATACTATATCACTGAAAAATGTACACATATCAGTCACAGAGGAGCACTAAAAAGATAATGCTGTTTCTCTCTAGCTGTGCCTTTTGCACATAAGCAATTTTTTCAGAGAACTCCTCAAATCATTGTGGAACATGTAATGCTGTTATTGCAGTCTTCTTCAATGGATAACATCTTGAGTTTGTGCATCTATAATATGCGAGATTTTGCAATAATTCACAATAACTAATTAGAATTGGATATTTCAGATTCTGAGTCAGTTGGCTATCACAGTTATGCTCACTTATATGAACCAACTCTAAAGTCATATCAAAGCCCACCCATCGTCATTGAAAAAACAGTCAACATCTGAAGTAAACATCAGAGGAAATATCTGTTTACATAATATTTGAATTCTGTAAGACTACTAACCCATGAATGCATAATCTTTAATTTTCCAGCAAAAATTCAGTGTTTCACTCAGGCCATAGAACAAGGGAAAAATAGACAAAAATGCCTTCCTCTATCTGCAATTTGAAGGACTGAAAATTTTATTGTTTCACTTATTGTGGAATTATTATTATTTTATTAAAGGGGTTTAAGTCAATACAACTGTGTAGGTTCATGCTGGGCCTCAGCAACAAGTAGACCTTACAAGACAGGTCTCACCTCATTCCAGCACTGGAAGGTGCATATGATGGAGTGCGGGATGGAGTTCCATATGTTGGTGTTCTCCCCAAACTTGAAGAACGCTGCATGGAAGTACGCTGCACAGCTGATCCAACATTTTTCCCAGTGCTGAAGGGAGCTCTCTTTACATGAGAACTGAGTCCAGTATGGCTAGACCAACTTCCTCGTACTGGAATCCCACTCTTTTTGTACATCACTGACAAGCCTATGGATTCAGATCAGGCTGACATATCTACACAAAAGGGTCAATATTAACAGAAAAAATTTTCCATCAACTTGAGTGTCATGTGGAGTTTCTTAAGGACCAGTTCTTGGTTTATTTCTCTTTCTCCTATGTAGACAATAATTTGATTTGTGAAAATTTAAAATACATTATCTTATGGCACTGACATACTGGGTGTCCCATAAGTCTTGAAGAAAATTAATTTAATTATTCAAAGAATATCCTCAATACATCCGACATTCTTGCAATTGCACATGTTTCGTCATAGTATCCACTCTTCCTAGACACATCAGAGGATTGCAGTCTAAGGTTGTGACAATGTTCCATGATGCACTAATAGAGTAATTGTAGGTGCAGTACCCATTGCATATCTCTATGTCTACTTCTCTCAAATGAAAACCTTGAACTTCTATCCTTGTCTATAAACTCAATCAGACATGGGTTTCAAAACAAGCATTCATTCAGACACAATTAACCAATGGAAAATATGTACTTCATTTTCATATTGAATTCATACCTCCCTGGTAGTATAGATTTTAGATAGCTCTACTAACATTCTGAGGATCCATTTCACCATAAGATCCACAAAACTACCCACATGAAAGTATCAATGCTTGTAATTGATGGAAGTGGATCTATGTGGGGGAGGAGGGTACAAATTCAATCCAAAAGAGTGGAAATGACTCCATAAATGGTAATAAATAGACTGTTAGCCCAGTGGCATAGGGAAGGGGGGTTTAGGAGGTTAGAACCCCCCCCCCCCCTTGGGCTTCCTGGTCAGTGACAGACAGGCATATTTCAACCTTCCTTGGGAATTCCAATTTTAGCTATGCCCCTTCGAAGAAAGTCTGATGTCTGTCCAGACTCAAGATGCCAGACCATGATTTCTTTGAAAAGGTAAATTCAGGGTAGTGGAGCTAGGGGTAGGGTAGGGGTGCCTACCTGGCCTCAACCCCCCCTTTCCTGATTTCCTGCCTACGCTACTGTGTTAGCCTGTTCTCATGCTCAACAAGTTCCTGAACATAGTACTCTGTTAGTCTACTCCAATATATAGAATATTCCAGGAACCACTGAACTACTCTACAATCCAGTTTTCCAATAATTGAAACTATAAGAATTGAACTTTTTTATACATTGGGCGTTTTTGTTTTTAAAGACTCCACACCCATTTTGTACAGTACCCATTTTTCATTTTTTGACACTTTTTGTATATTATTTTTGCACTCATAGATTTTTCTTGTAATTTTTCGCATTTCTCTCCATATGTGTGCTCTATATCTTTCTACTTTCTTTTCCATATGCCTTTTTTTTTGCACTTTTCGAGATTTTTATTTTTAAAGCTCTTCTCTGGTGCATTGTCCATAATAAACCTTTGTTTTCTTTCTCCAATGCTTTCAAAACTCCAATGATCTTTCACATAGCTTCATTTTCAGAATGAAATATAGAGCGGTGCAAAAGTTCCTTTACCCAAACAAATTAATATGAAAGTTAATTAATTGACACTTGCTGGGTACAAAGGTCACTATTTAATGGTGTAATTGTGTTCACCTGATCTCATAAAATATGAAAATAGAATGTCAAGCAAAGGAATTACGCCTAGCACACTTGAAAATAATTTTTAAAAGGGGATTTACATTGGGCTCTTACAGACTATCTTACTCCAAGAAATTATCAACTGTCTCCCTCTGTGATGGAACTGTCAGAGGGGAAATGATACGCCATGTTTCAACTATAGCCTATGATGCATTGAAGTTTAAACTACACTCCCGAAAATGAGAAAATTGTATAGTAGGCCTAAACAATGGAAACAATAAAAACTGACACGACTAGGTTTTGGCCTAACGTTGCAGCAACTTCAATCACTTTGCCTGATATTATTTTAAAAAACCCAAATCTTAAATATTTTGCTACTTCGACCCCCACCTGCCGCACATATCATTTGTGAGTCACACTTAAACTTGAAATGGCATACTCAAGGGAAATACATTCACAAAAACAATTATAACAGGCGAGTGCATAGCGCCTCCATGAGAGCGCAAAAACCGCCAAAAGGATTTGTTGTGATTGGTCAACTAAGGGCCGCAGCTCGCAACACATTGAAAGGTACATCCATGGAATACCGTATATATTTCTCCTCGATTTTTTACTTTCTACAAAATCAAAGGCCGTAATTTGTATTGAAAGTGTTTTCACAATAATTGCATAACCGTTGCAGAAAAAGGAATTTCTCGTATCTCTTTCTATCGCGGCCTGCTCCACCCAGCAAGCGAATGCTATTAACATGGCGACTCTCAGGCATTTTTTGAGTGCTTTGAATTGCAATTTGATTTCGTACACTATTAATCTCTACACGAAATTTCTATGGTGCACGCAAGAAAGTGAAGTTTAATTTTTCATGAAATAGGTAACGTTAGGTTGATGGAGTTCATGTTATAGAAGGTACTAGTTCATTTACAAGTCCCTGGATCCTTGTAGTTAAAGGGAAAGGCCAAGTGGTTTCACCTTAGACTTATCACATAGTCGGCTCTACGGAGAAGTACTCTGTATTTTTCCGTTGAGTTTCACTCTATTTCACTTGAATCTGGTGGATCTTCATTACTATGCCCTGACGGCAAGGCCCAGGCCCCCTACATTTAAAGATGGTGATAGCGGTTGAGGATAGCTTCTTAGGCCAAGGGGTCCTGTATTGCCTTGGGGCTGTCGGAAGGAAGGTGAAAAAAAAAAATAGCTTTCGCAAAATGTGGGAGAGCAATCTAGAAAGACAATTTGCATTATTGCATTCCAAGGGAAGGCAGTTTACACAATAATGGAAAGGGAAAAGTGGGCCAAAATAAATTCATGCTTGGTTTTAACCTCCTGAGACCTGGATGGCACATGCACCTACCAAATACAATTGGTTATATTTTCTAGGTCTGAGAAGGCTAAGGATGTTAAAGGAATTAGATCTAGGCTTCATCTATAGTTTATTTAGATGTAATTATAGAATGCTTCAGTTCTAGTGTTCTGAAATCTGGTCAGAATGGACTTCGGGTAATTGATTCACTGACCAACCAAACATGTGTAATCAGGAAATTTATTCCAGTGGAAGTAATAGTTGTCACATACCAAACACATCATGTGACATAAGGGTGATACTCATCCTGGGCCTAAAGGCATCTATGGATCATAGAGGAGCTAAATCAAAAAGGAAAACCTTGCCAAATGGTTCCTGCTTCAAATTTGTTTCTCCAGAACATTCTGTACAGCTTGGCCAGTGTCCATTGCAGTGGTGACATTTTAAGGGTTTTTTTTTTCAGCTGGATTTGATGCCTCTTCAGTTAAGTACTATAGACTGGTATTGTAGACATTTGAAGAAAATAAGATTCAAGGAAAGAACTGCATTAGCATAAAGTGCTTTCATATAATTTGCCACAGATAATTCTACCTTTCAGCTGTTATGATGGTGAAACATTTCAAGCACAATTAAAAAACATTACTTTAGATTTAGTGCTTTTCAATGGAGTTTGTTGTATTTAACCCCAGCATTTATGACAGGTTCAATTCCTAAGCAATATCATTCTTGTCATACAGGAATATAATAGACCTCTTATTGTTAGACACAATATAATCTCTTGAACTCAAGGGTAAAGAATCAGGCTGAACTGGAAAGCACTATCAAACCTTGGTTATCAGTAGCATAACTTATTGCATAACTTTATTTATGGGTTATCCAGACCAATTTAGCAATGTGCTCTCCATTAATTGTTCCTGACCTGCCTGTTCAATCTCTTGTCCATGGTGCTACTATCTGTACTCTACTGACTTCACTTCTACATTTGTATTTCATTCTTTATTTTTGTCTCCCTGAATTTTGATTTGGTCTTCATGGGGCTTGGCTCCATTTCCAAGCCCTTGCATTACTTAGGAAATAAGTATGATGACAATAATGGATCATAACAATTCTCCAATTTGTAAGCACTTAGTTTAGAAGTGTTAGGCAAGCTCATATTCTCTATGATGTCATATTTGAGAAATTCTTTCTATTTTGGCATATCTGGGGCTCTAATGGCAAAGCCTCATAACTTACATTGATTTTGGACCTGTAGGCCTTTCCTTCCTGCTCTCAGCTGAATTTTCCAGATTTTGCAGATATCGTTTAGCATTTAGTTGCACCCTGCTGGTGAGAATCACCCAAGGCCATTATTATGAACTCCTCTCAGCGAGGAAAGGTCATTCAGCTGTACAAAAACGTAAGCAAAGGCCTGTTGTAGGATAGGCATTAGCCTAATGATAATATAAGTCTTATGATATTGTTCTATGCCCCAGTTTTAAGCCCAACTATATCCTAACTAGGCTGATGCTACTGCGCCTAAAATGAAGGCTTGCAAATAAAGTTCAGCCTAATATTTTCATGGAGCCAAATCATGCACTGCGACTCCTGAGAAAATGTTGAACTCTAATGGAAAACCCTAATACTATGTCAAGGGTGAGTTTCTAGGGATGATACATAGTCATGAAACAAAAGTGGTGTTCTGAATAAAATAAATATATCTTTATCAAAACAGAAACTTGGTATTTTCTCCGTTCTAGTTGATGATGGCCTGTAATTGACTGTGCCACTGCCAAATTCCATCCTGTAATGAGCAGAAAGACATGGTTTGCCAATGATTAGCATTTGTCGTATTCATATCTTCAGTGCTCTCGATTTTCTGCAGGTAGACATTTTCCTGGAACTCACCCTTATAAAATTATAAGCAATCTCCATTTGAACCCGTGGGTGGTGACATGGTAGGTTCAGTAACATCTTACTTTTGATTCTGCATGAATTCTACAGTTAAATAAGATGTCTGTTCATGACCCCATCATGGATCATTGGAAGACAAAGTTTGCACCTGATACCTTGCATATGTACTGGGTGTCCCACAAGTACTGTACACCTGGTATTCTGTATGTACCAGGTGCACAGTGACTTTTGGTACATCCTGAATATGGCTAAAAACTTGTAACAATGGATTTTCTGACACCAATGCAGGCCTTGTTAATTACTTTGTGTGAGGCATGTTTCAAGAAAAAGGCTACCCAAGCAAAAACTCAAGCATTGAAGATTTGAAAACAGCATTTTCAATTCTTGGCCAGCCATGCTTCTCCTGATTGAAGCATGGAGTTGGACAGCAGCACTCACAATTGCAGGCTACCATAGCTTAAAATGGAAGGTTCCTTTCCTAATGCAATAACCAGAAATTATATTTCATTTAAAAAATTTTTTTTCATAGATGCCTCTGTAATGCATTTTAATTACACCTAATGATAGGGCTTTCCTTTTTTTCTGGCCACTATGTAGACCTCAATTGCAAGTAATTTAAGGATAGAGCTATTTCAATATTTAAGATGGATTATCTGAGTCCAGTTATTTGGATGCTTGATTGTTGATTGTTGAATTTTTTCATGCAAGGAAATCATGCAAGCTGTGTGAACCCCAAACCTCAAGTCTTAAAATAAAAAGTTCCTAAGCCTACTTGGCAGTTGTCTAAGACTGAGAAGTTGTCAGAAGTTCAATTTTCCTATCCATCTTGGCAGCACCCATTACTTAAAATGATTAAACATTTCTCCTGCAGATGATACCAATTCTACTCTGTGGCCTTGAATGCATATTTGATGACAAAGTACATGTTTTAGATACAGTGCAGATCATTCTCCCAATAATTTTGGACTATTGATTTTCATAATGCTTTTATTCACAGTTGCTGTTCTTGGGAAGGGAGTATCCACAAGGATATGAGTACTTTCGGGATCGCCTGAAGAAAGCCTTCCTCAAGAACAAGGGTGTAACTGACCAAAAGGAGATTCAGATGCTCCTTGCTAGAGGAGAATATGTCATCAAAGAAATTGAAGCTCTTTATATGCTTAGGAAATATCGAACTCTAAAGCAGCGATACTATGCAGAAAAGGATAACCGATAATATTTCATTGCAATGTTGGTCACGTTTTTTTTGTTCTCAAAAGAATCTCAATTCTTACCATTACCATGTGATGCCTACATGCTATAATGCAAGGGCATCCTTCACCTGAGATATTTTGGATTCAACTGTTAAGCCTAAGCTGTACTTTGTTGATTCATATGCTTTTATTTGCTGTAAAAAATGGCAAGTTTTCTTGGTGATATCGCTTATTCAGTTTGGAGTCATTACAGGTATGTATTTGGGGACTCAAAGTGTAGAACAAGTGATCATTGCCATGCCAATATGAATGCAATTGTTTCCAAAAAGGTTTCTGTGCTTGAATTAATAGGTTTCTTATTCCTCTTCAGCTGCCAGAGCATGCTGCACCATTATGTGGTGGTTTGAGCTATATATTCATTGTCTGAAAGGACAATGCCCATTCAATGGGAATCATGCCTCAAATGATTATCCTCCAAAATGTGTTATCTGAAAGTTCTCATCAAATTTGCAAATTTTTTGGTGACAAATTCTCCTGGATGTGGCCATGCTTGTCCTCCAGTTGATATAAGTGACTCACTTGAGACTTGTGGTGTTTTCCTGCCAACCCCTCTCCCTCCCATATAACCCGCTCTAACTTGTGCTTCATCTTTTCTATCTCAGAAAGTGTTCAAGGTCCTAATACCTGGACAGTTCTTTTTATAGTTAGCTTCCTTTTCAAAAAACAAAAGAGGTCATTTGTTGACTCCCTTTTATCTGTTGATATGTTTCCTATTCTATTGCGAGTTGATAACTCAAAAAGTATTGCCCTGATTACTTTGTCTGGCAGACACACATGGACTAGCTACTAACTTCATTTTTGCAAAATTTGTGCATAAAAACAAACCTTTTGTCATGAATTTTAAAATTGGCCATGCAATGGTTTGGCAAGAATAGATGGATGCCTCTTGCTTCTCCCCAGCTCCATGCATTCCCCCACTTTTCTTCCTCTACACTTAGTGATTGGCAATCACAAAACAAAAGACAATGCTTTACTTTTAGCTTTTTTAAGTAATTCCAGGTATAATGAGTTGCTTTTTATAATAAATAACAAGTGTTGGTAACCAACTTAGTGAAAATGAAATGGAAGTTACCATATATATTTGCATATTTCCACTATCAAGCAGAGTTCCTATATATTCCATAATAATATGCTCTATTTTATATTTTCTTTTCTCTTCAATAGGCCCATTTATCTCCATAGGCCAGTGATATCCAACCGTTTCTGACTGGTAGCACACTTTGAATCCCTTTATAATTTCTTGGGGTGCTGCTTTTTGGGGTGTTTATGTGGTAGGGGGGTGGGAATGCTGAGCAGAAGCTAAGCAGTGCAGACTTGACACCGTCATGAATTGACCATTGGTTACTGTGTGAAGAAGATGAAATAAGGTTTCTTCTCATAGTTTTCTCACTCACAAACCTCAAATATTGTGAAACATTTGAGCTTAGTTTATGTCTCCTCCTGACATTAGTGACAGGATAGATGACAGTGCATGATACTGGACTGGGCTTCCCCAACTTTTCTTTATGTGATTAAATTTTGGTATTAGACTTAGGAAATCTAGTCTCTGCCGCTAAGCCCCATGTGTGACGTGCTGTGTATGAATAAATTTCCATTTTATTTGTGTGCTGATATTCTGGTGCATCTCTCTGTCACAGGCATCCATTGTGATTGTAGCATCATTATCTCCTGAAGCTTTTGACTCACTTTTTGAAGAAGCATAACTGCCAAGTGACAGTTTGTTTTGACATTGCTTGCTGAGGAAAGAAGATGAATTATCAACTCTATCGAAATACTACTTTAGGCAACACTCTACAGGAATCCCTTGATGAACTGATGAGCTATAATCAGATCAGTGCTAATGTTGCCATGAAGGTTCTCATGCAGTATGACAAAGCTGTCAACAATGCTCTTGCTACACGAGTCAAGACTAAGCTCAACTTCAAGTCTGGAAAACTCAACACCTATAGATTTTGTGACAATGTCTGGACCTTCATGCTGAGTGATGTGGAGTTCCGAGAGGTGCAAGAGCTCGTTCGGGTGAACAAAGTCAAGATTGTTGCCTGTGATGGAAAGGGAGTTGGTAGCAGAATAGAAGAGAAAGACTGAAATCTCATCAATCATCCTTTGTTTCACTCTATTCTGAGTGTTATAATATTATGTGATGTTAACGTCAATGCGATTCTTGGATATGGATAGATTTGGATTACATTGTTATTTTTCCCTTTTGTATGTTGAAGAAAATTATTACCAGAATGTGTATCCATTTGACAACACAAGCCTGTCAACTTCCAAGTAATTAGTATGAGTTCGGTGCCGAATACTGTCCCTATTTTGAATGAAGGTCAAGTCCAATTCATTTGGAAATCACTTTGCCTGCTATCCTATGCTTAAGGTGGACAACTCAGATTCACAGGAGTGATACCTCTTGTGCATAGTTGATGCTGTTGTAAAGTACCAGTTTCATTGAAGCATATTTTATTGTAGGCCTACTTGCAAGCACTATGTGTTGTGCTCGGTGACTTTGAGGTTACTATGGCCATAAGTTTTGTTGCAATTGTGCTTGTGAGGTGTGTGGGATTGGGATTTCTACTTCCTTTGAGGAGTTATCTTGGTATTTCCTATGGCAGTGTACATACCTAGATCTCACTTGGGGACTGTTGGCAACAGAATGAAACTACACACGCCCACCTATTGCAGTAAATATCTCAGTGAGCATACGTTCATCTCAGTAACAGTGAAATCAAAGAAAATTGGGACGTGGAACTGTCATTCTTGTACTGATGACTTGTGTTATATTACCTGCTGAGTAAACAAGTATCAGTTCGGAAGACCTGCCTTTTTATTTTGGCAATGTATCACAAAATCAGGCAACAAAATCTGACTAGGTAAGAATGGAACTCTACACACCATTGTTAACATTTCTTCAGTTCTTGTTCTTGGTAACTAAACATGCTGGAAACTCCACTCAAAGGATGTAATGAGAGACGGGAATAAGCTGCGTAATTCGTAACTTTATGAAAAATTTAGTTCTTATGATGATAAATTCTTGGCACGTCGACGCAAATTCTTTCGTTTATGCAAGTCCATATGAAATGGAATGAGAATTCAGGAGCGTTTTTGGAAAAGTATTTCCCAGGTGCTATGAAAAATTTTCTTTCAAGTCTCATCATAGTGCATCCTCCATTACTTTTGGAGACCATAGTCTCGAGTCATCAGGTTGCACTACTATTGTCCTGACGAAGGAGGCAAAATCAGCTTCACACGTAGCTCTCTTGTTGGGAAGAATACAGTAGAAACGAGTCAAGAAGGCGAGGTTCAACCAGATCCAAGGCATTTTGCTGTTTCACCTCTTCTGTTCCACACAAGGTAGCAATTTTCCTCAGAGCCGCCTGACGGGAAAAAAAAACTCATTTGTTACTGGTCACATATATCTCATCCTAAACAATCGAGAAGGAAGCCGAACACGGAGGGCTCACAAGGCAAGCTATGAGAACTGCATCCGACTGATGACGACATTGCTCATTTCGACATAGATTCACGAGTTTCTTGACTCCACCAAGAGCGATGACTCTTCCACCCACTGCTTGATCCACGCATAATCTGCAACAACAACAAAATTCTAAGTGGTCAAGTGAAGTCATGAGCCTGAGACAGTTTATTGATGGGGGGGGACCTGGAAATGGCAATGGCAGCCTTTTGCTGGACCCGTTCCGAAGCGGCAATCTCGGGGTCTCGCGGAGGAGGGAAGGTGGGTGGAGGTGAATGAGCATCTAAGAATGACAAGAGGACCACCAGACCACCCTCGGATGAAACCGGCCTTCGACTCTCCGGATTTGCCGCCATGTTCGCCAACACGGTAGCAATCTGTTCGTCATAAAAGTCCGTCCACGTTCACATCACCCGCTCTACATCTCTTTACATATGTCTAAGGAAGAGAAAATGAGCAGGAGAATTGAACCTGATCCTGGGCGAAGACGGAAAGTTGGGATGTCTGGGCGTGATGGATGAGGACGTGAGCAGTGCGGAAGGTATGCATGTGTGAAACGGCTTCGGGGATCACGAACGTGAGATTGGCCAGCGCTGCTGAAGCCAATAGGAAACTCTCCTCGCACGATCCATTCTCCGCTAGATCTGATCAACAGTTTATATTGTTAATTAGATTTGTTTAAATTATCCATGAGGCCCTCACTCGTGGGCAAAATCAAATGAATTGGTTTTAAAATCTGATTTAGATAAAATCAAATCAAAGTTTGATTGTATCGACACATTACATCTTAAACTTATTTGACGTCATAAGTGGTTAGGTTATCACGATTTTAAGATACAAATAATTTGCTAAACATACAAGAAGTCAAGACATTCATGTGAGGGAGGAAAGAAACTTTCACAATGCTGATACTGAGATGACGCAACAAGCGCCCCCCAAGCGCGATGTAAAAAACTGATTCATAACAATAACATACCAATTAACATATCAATTCAAATCAATGACATATCAAGTCATTGATTTGTGATTGGACTATTTAACAGAATCACCCTTTGAAAAACCTGCGGTTCATTTGTGGTAGGAGTGGAATCTGCGATTCGCCCACCTCTCACCTCTGCCCGTTACAAGTCCTCGAGAACGTGACGAAAAGAAGCTGATGCCGGAGGGGGTGGGAAGAGAAACTTAACTTCTGTATAAGGATGCACTGACGAGAGACAAGTAAAGGAAGGCGTCGAGCTCATCCTCATGCATGGGATTAATGAGAAGAGGCAGGCGGAATGATTTAAAGCCCTCAAGTTTTTACGATCGTTCGTTATCTGTCAGTCTCCTCTCGAAAGTCGTCGAGGATTGTTGTGCCCAAGGACAAATTAAAACGTTTCAGAGAGACTCACCGGTGAGGGCTTTGACAGTCGGGATGAGATGCTGAGCAAGGCCATGAAGCTGATGATTCTCCTCGATCCAGGGAGATGTTATTTGAGCTAGTACCCCAGCGGCTTCTTTCTTCTCGTGTTCCCTTGTCTCTTCATCGCAGAGGATATCTGCCAGGATCTCCACTCCCCCAGCCTAGGGCAAACAATGTCAAAACCTTAAAGCCTCTCCATGATGGAACTGACTGGCTGCACCTCTCGATTGCTCAAGGCTCACTAAGCCATCATCACTCCCTTTGTGCTCATTTTCTCCAATTGCGTTCAGCTTCATGCCAACATACGTGGTGAGGTTCAAGGAAGGACATTCGTGGAGCAGGGGTTGAAAACCATGAAGACTGAATAAAAAATGGGGGGGGGGACTGTCTGACCGGTTATTTCTCTGATCGGAAGAGGAAGGGAACAACGATCCCCAGTCGAATATAAATGGAGAGGCTGAATGAAGATATTGACGACACATCTTGAAACGGTCGAAACGACTGTGCGATCCCTTCCACTTGTAAGAAAGAATTCAGTACTATAAAACCTTCAATAATATATACATATGTAAATGAGATGGGAATATTGAGAATTACATTATTCCTTCGATAGGGCAAATGAGCAGTACCATGTTAATTTAATCTTCAAGAGTGTAAAAAGGATTGGCTGGAAAGGGGAGGGGGGGGGGATTAAGCGTCCATAGAGACGAAGCCCGGGGGGGATGCCAACGGACACAAGTTGTCAAAGAGGACATCTTGTCGGCGCTTTAGCCGACAGTAGACACCCAGCGATAGAAGAATGAGTTGCTCATCTACTGTCGAAAGCGAAGATCCGTGTCCACCACTGAGAAATTATCGTGAAACACCCACCGACGCGTTGCGAAGCCGCGCCCGCCAGTTTCAGATCTGATTTTAGTTACGACTCGACTCTGTGATTTTCTCTCATGGCACCATGGGACTCCTTGGACGGGATCTTCCCAAGATAAACAAAGGCGAGAAAGATCTTCCGCAAGGTTCGAAAAGTACTAGGAAAGCACTACCCTGGAATTTACTTGTTTTGATTTTACATCTATCACGAATTCCGAAAAGAAACGGCCATGATTAAATTTCAGGACAAGATCAGAAAGTCCAATCAAAAGGTATTGATAATAAATCATAATCAGGCGGATTGTGAGGACTTTTCTACCAATTCCGCAACAATATGAAGGCGTTCAGGGCGAAAGTGAAAGCGAGGAGGGCGGAAGGAATGGAGGGGGAGGGACAAGATACCTGTTCGGGTTCTCAAACCTATGGGACAGAGATTTCATAACAATTCCAAATTCACGAGGAGTGTCTCAATATTCTGGGGTCTTAGGAGGAAAAAAGGGGAGTGAAGGCATCTTGAAGAGACAGGACGAAGGGTGGTGGAAGTGACTGTTGAAACAACAAAAATGTAATCGCTTTTAAGTTTACCTAAAATGGCTGCAAAAAACGGACGCACCTACGATGTAAATGCAGAACATTAACTAAGGCAAAGTGGGAAACATTCACAGAATAAAGGGATGATAATTTATGGCTGATGTTTCACAAAGCAAGAGTTTCAAACGTATACTTAGTGATCGCCCCCACACTCGTGGACGAGAAATAATTGTTCATGACTGAAGGAGGATTCTCCCTCTCTCGTGTCGTGTCCCCTGCGTGAGAGAAAAACAAGCGCAAGAGATAGAGAGAGAAAGACAAATTAATGCTGCTGCCAGGTGATTCATGGCCGCATTTCTCATCCTCCCTCCACCCTACCCATTCCTCATTCCACTCTCTCTCTCTCTCTCTTTTTCTCTCTACCCCCTCCAACACAGTGAAGTCAACGGAAGCCGATCCACGAAATTCGTCGTCTTTCGCCGAGAGAGAGTTGAAGTGGGATCCCGTGTTCTTTCATGCTCCCCATGACATGAGCTCGTGCATCGCACTCGCCTCACACCATGACCAAAAATACATGACCACACACTTTTATTGCGACATACTCCCCTGCCGTTTACATGACAGTCGAGGGACACTCCTCCGAATCAGCATCCTTCATACTCGTTCATGAAGAGGCTAGATGAAGTTTTCCAGTGGAAACTTCCAGGAGGGTGAGACTGATATAGAAAGAGAGAGGGGGATAGAGAAAGAGAGACAGCACACAGTGTATACGTAGTCGGTTGACAAGAAACACGGCTCATATCTCACTTAGGTCGGGTTTCTTGCCCTTTCTGCGCTGTGAGGAGAATCTTAATTGCGGCTTGTAATTAATGTCCAATTCGCATAATCCTCAGTTCCTAGATGTTAGCTTTATGCGCTTCAAGGGTTTGTGAGATAAGACATACGGTATTCCACGATAACATTGCGGGAATCCGGAAGTTGATGTAAGAAAGCTTTAATTAGCGGGAGGCAGAGGGAAAAGAAATCGAGAGAGTGGATATGCCCACGCATTTTGTGGGGATGATGAATGAGCGAGGAAGAAAGCCCTTCCCTTTCAATGCCATTCGTCGCTTATGAAGAGTTCATTTCACGGTATTCCAACAGCCAGTTCTCGGATGGCTTCGGCGACACTGTCGAGGGCAGCGAGTGCCTCGAGAGCAAATACCCAGGCCACCCTGGCCCTTGCTTCCGAGGCGATCGAGCGAAGGACTACCACTGACCTGTTCCAGTTCCCGGATGGCTTCGGTGACACAGCCGAGGGTGGCGAGTGCCCTGAGTGCATAAGATCTGGCCACCCTGGCCCTAGGTTCCAAGGCGATCGAGAGAAGTGTCCGGACTCCTCCCGTCTCGGCCACCATGCGACAGATGGGAGGCCCTAGGAGCCCCGCGGATGTCACTCGGCTCAACACGGCACCAAGCGCACCCACCCACTCGCATCCGCAAACGCACCTCATCAGCACCTGCGGCATTTCATGATCTCACACTCTCGTTGGGAAGGGGAGAATTGGATATGAAAGACCTCAACCGACCTTGACCTGATCCATGAGAAGGCAATCCACAAGGCGGGTGAAAGTGTGTCCCACGGCGGCCAGGATTTGGACGAGGTCTCGGAAATGGGATCCCATATGAGAACCGAAATCCGCTCGCCCTCGTAATTCCCCACACAACACCCTTAGCTTTCTCTGCCACCAAAAAAAATAACGGTATGCATGTAGTGGATGAACTTTGTTGTGGGAAAGTCAGAAAAGGGGGATATAGAAGCCGGAGCACCTCGAAAGGATGTCTGGAAGGAGGTGCAGGAGGGTAGCCATCGAGGAAGGAGAAAATGTTCCCCACCAGACTCTGAACCAGCGGTGGAATGTGCGCCAGGTCTTGGTTCTCCATCGTCCTGGGAATTCCAAAGAAAACACAAGAACTGAGGAAGACTTGCGAGATCCTGAGTATAGATGCGCAGCGTAACGAGGTCCATAAAGTGTAGCCAGATGGAGAGGGGATAAAAATAATTGTAGAGTCTAGCACCTTCGGCAGGTAATAAACTCAACGGGGATGGACCGAACATGCAATGGCTGATCCTAGAATGCGATTAGAACACGTTTCCCTGCTGTTCTTGCGTAACTACGTGTATGTTTATATAGGGAAGAACGAATCTGAGAAACGGGGGAGGGGGGGCGAATGAATGAGAAGGAATCCGGTATAACCAGGGCGAGGTATTTACAGTAATGCAATGATGATGACGAGGATGAGGGTAGTAGGTGGTCTGAAACGCAGGGGGGCCCGATCTCGGGTGCCACCCTCTTCAGCTCTTTCTATTCTCCTTATAATTGCCACCTTGACTCAATAGATGCAAGTCTACTCGTATTACTCTTCAACGCCTCCACCTCGATCCTTTATGCAAGCCCATTCTCACTCGCCTCGGCGAGAGGTCTCGTATATAAAAAGAGGGAAGTACCGACAATTATTTAGCAGCTGTGAATATGGATGAAACGAGGAGACCTCCCAAGACCACCCACTGCTAAAAAAAAAAACATACTTGCTAAGATCGTCTCATGCTCATACATCGTTGCTCCCGTAATGAATTCCTCCTTTCTCATGCTAACCCAAACCGGGCAATGCGTACCTATCGTAAAATGAAGAGTCGGGCGTTTATGGCATCCTCATACAAGAGAAGGGGCCGTTATGACTTTCACCATCATCTAAATTATTGCATTTGGTTTATCGTGGCCTCATTTCAGTCTTCCAGGCCTTTTTTTTTTCATTCCATTTATCCGGGGTGGGGATAATCGGCCGTTCATTACACGCGGACGCTCCCAACCCATAAAAATCCGTGCTAAAAACCAAGCCATGCATCCAAGGTCTCATGGTACGGATGATAATAATCGTACACCGTGACTTTCACTCCTCTTGTCGTAAATAATTGCGATTCGGTGAGAAGATAGAGCACACAAATGGAAGGATTAGAGGGGGGCTGACATGAACGACCCGGTTGTGGCCATGGAGAGAATCAGGAATGCATATCACGAGGCGGGAAATGGGATTTTAAAGACAATTTCCCGGGCTCCGATGACGCAATCGAGGATGGATATCCAAACACTCTCAGTGATCGATCAGTTAGACGACTCCAGCCCTTTCCCTCACGGCCGTAACCACTGCCTGTCACACAAACACACCATCACGTGTGTCTGTGTATATGCATACGGGGCACGGCTTTCGACCGGCCCATAGGAATGGCAAATCATGACGAAATCCGTGATGTCCTCGTGTTTATAAACCGGGCGTGAATATAAAAACAAAAAAAGGTGGAAGGGAGAAGGTCTCTTTCATTAGTGGATAGAAGTATGTCCCCCGAAACTGCCATGTTCCTTCCGGAAACAGGAGGGTGCCAATCAAGGCGGTGTGATGCGATGAAGATGACAGCGTTTTCTTGTTGTGTCATCCTAATTTCCATCCTTGTTAAATGGAGGCCCCCTGACGAAGCAAATGCCTACCCTTTTTGTTCATGAATGGCGCAAGACCATACAGGTAGCCTCGCCGATTTCATAACTCCTAGCAATAGTCACAACACTATCACAATCCCGCATAGTCTTAATTACCCAAACAAACCGACACGAGCGCGAACTACCGGAATAGATATCCTGTATGCAATACGAAACGCACAAATTACAGGTTTCCATACACCTTTACCTTCCCCAAGAGCCAAAAGTGAGCCAATTTAAATCAAACTACGACCTCTAAGCAACAATAAAAAATAAAGATTCTATAAAATAATACAAGTTGTAAAACAATCATATGATTCAATTCGGGTCGCAAAATTATTCAAAAGTTCAAATGAAGATTTGACTTGACTCACTTCTGCTTAGAGACTAAACGAATCTAGCTAGATACAACCTCTCGATCTGTTTGGGGATTTAAACTCCTTTTGAATACAACTAAAGTCATGGAATGGGGTTGAATTTCCTGTTGCAGAGGTTCTATTCTTGTTTAGGGCAGGTGAACGTTCGCCTCGATCATTCATATATGGCTGGAAAGGACGTGAGGAGGCATAATTCCACCCTCATTTACTATTTGCGCTCCAAGGCTATTATGGTTAAGAACAATACTACGTGGACCAAGGAAGAAGACGAGGAAAAGAAAAGGCATTTAAGTCAGTCAGCAGGAGGGTGCGAACAGCTCCCAACCTTCTCGCTCCACTTACTTAACCTCATTGAAACTTCTTCCTTCTTCCCAATCACCTCCCCTCATTTCGGGCCATTTTTAAAAGTCTAACGAGTTTGACTCATGGTGTCACCCTCATTTCCGTCATTTAATGGAGTCGGAACAAGCATTTGGGATCATATGACCCCGTACAACATGACCACCAGACTCTCATGAAGTCGGGGATGAATGATCGAGTACAGAGAGGCTCGGAGCCAGAGGCTCCGAAATGAAGCATGGCTGCAAAGAGCCGTCACCATATAGAATCGATCACTGTATATCCAATGCCCATGGATAACTGTACACATCCCGACACTGACCTTCCAAAAAAGAAAGGAAGACCCGAAGACCATGATCTCTGTTATTCGTGATCACGGGCATGAGGGCCTTGCAATAAAGATACTGGAGATATCTTTTTCCACTCCCACTACAAGGTCTCCTTCATATGGATCACCCAGACCCATACTTCCTTCATCGCTCCCTCGTCACGAATGGATTCCAGGGTATTATGAAATAGATGGGAGGAGAATACAGGTGAGTACGGTTCTGTGGTTTTAAGAAGAAGACCACCCGGTCGGAATGAAATGATCCAGGTCAACGGGTCAAGGGTTAACCCTTAACCAGTCGCTTACTCCATCACTCAAAGAATCTCAACTCTATTTTCGCATCTTCGCTATGACATTGCTACAGTCACAACTCAACTGATTGCAAGGGCGAAGGGTTTCGTGTGTGCTCCCATATACATATGACTGAAGTGAATGGGTTCATCCATGAGACCAAACCAAGAGATGATGGAGGGGTAAAGGTGGTCAACCCATTAGTTGCGGTCATGTGAGGAATGTTCAGGTCCCCTGCTGATCCCCCCCTTCTCCAATTATTCCCAGTCCAATTACTGAATATAATGCTGTATTGGTTCCATCCCAAGGCCGACCAGGCCTTAGCTTCCTCTCCTGTGTGTAATATTGTACCACAGTCACATTCATCTCAAGTCACTCCCTAAAGAGGGCCCGACCCAGACCTATGAGAGCAAGAGCCTCCTGTATTTCATCTGCCCTGGTGATTCTTTCTCCCGTAAGATGAAAGGAGAAAAATTATGGGCCATTTTGTCGCTCCGGTTAGATCCTGTATCATTTGAAGAGGGCATTTATTTAACCTGAATCTCAGAGAGGTCTCACCTCCGCCCTCGATTACCAGCTTTCATCTACTTATCTGGCCTGCCCCCCAGCACGAATCGACATTCTTACGCCAAATACAATAGGGCTCGGTGATAATCGTTCCGCCGCGATGTGTCAGCAGAAACGAAACCCCTAGAAGGCAGGGTTGAAATGAAAATCACAATAGAGAAAGGGGAGGAAATGATGAGGGGGCACCTGTTGACAGACACAATGAAGAATAAACTCCGTCTCTCCCTCTAACCTGTCCCTGAAACTTGTACAGCTTTCATCGTAATGTCAGAGGACATCGATCACGAGCAGACAAGGCCCTGAACAAGGAAAAAGAGCATGAACATGACCTTGCGGGTACTCACTTGCAGAGTTTGACAAATTCTCCGGAGACACTGTGAGAAGCAGCTTGAATGAGACGTAGATCCCTGAGTGCACGTGAGGCACAGGTCAAGGGTGACAACCTCACATCCCCTTCGAGGCTTTTCCCTTGAAGGACACTCATGCATTCTGCTTCCCCTGATCCCCTCAACTCCAACATCCACGATGCCACAGAGGAAAACCTGAAATGAACAGTCACACCATTTCGCCTCAAATCAAGCGTTCACTAGCGTACTAGCACTCAGCTACAAGGAGCGCATGGAAAGACTTTGCCCCTTTACCTGAAACTTGACAACCTCTTTTTATGAAACAAATTCATTCCTTGAATAACACATAGCTCAGATATTGATGAATGTGTGTCCCGAGTTGCAACTTGTTTTTTTTTTTTTGTCAGCGTAGCAGATTCTCACGTACGAGGAGAATAAGAGGTTCATGATAAATATGAAAGGAGAAAGGTAAAAGCAACGCTGGCAGCATGGTTCCTGTAAAATGAGTGTTTAATGCCGCCGCAAATCGTTTGACGACTCCAACAGGTCTGTGGCGAGTCTACACCAAACGAGATGATAGTTCATAATTGGATTGAGGGCTGCCGATGTTCCAAAGAGAATCTGCCACGGATCCACGCCCAAAACCAGTGGCTGCCTCCAACTCAGAAAAAGTCATGTGACGGTTGTTCATCAAGGCCTTCACAATTGCCATTGTTAGTAGTATTATCGCGTTTCTAGGACAGACCGCAGCGGATTTTCCGCGTGTCATCAACTCCCTTAGAAGCTCAATCCAGTAATAGACTGTCTTCTCAGTAGGTGCAGACCCTCCACATGGAGACTCCATCCCTTGGAGTCGTCGGACGAATTCCGTCCTCATAACATCCTACATCAAAAGGAACCATATAGTCCACCGTTAATCGCACCTATCTACTTTCATATTTGTCAGGAACCTCTCATTCCAGCATGCACGTGCTACACCAACAAGATAATAAAAATTGCTGGAACTTGGTACATACATGCATGAATATCTATTTACTTTAAAAAAAAGTAAATAATTCTGTTCCGCCAAAAGGATCTAAGTTACAGTTAGAGTAAAAAACGGTTCCCGTACGCCCCTCATGCATCCACGGTCCCAAAGAAGGCAACCTGGAATCAGCAGCCACGCTACTTCCCTTAGATCCAGATATTACTTATTCTTATAGTTCTGATAGTTCATCCAGAAGTGGATTCAACCCACGCCTCGAATGAGGGATGACTCAGGAGGAGGTGGTGAATACATGTTATTCTTGGCATTATTCACACACATTCAGGCGGCTGTTTTCAGGGTAAACAGAGAAGCTGTGGGAGAAGGTGTAACGGTACGAGTGCATGTTCGATGTCTAATGATGCAGAGCCTAACGGACTGATTCCGATCAAAGGCATCTCTAGGCTAGCCATATGACGACTTCCATCGGATTCATCCCTCAGCCATATGCTCCTTTCTCAAAAAGACATTTCCATTCACAGGAATGCCCCAGTTTTCAATCCACCAGCATGTCTGTTATCTGTGAGATCTTCAACGAGGTCTCTGCATAGAAGAAGCATGAGGTGTGGTGCGTATGGGCTATATTGTGTCGATGTTGATGAAACATTCATGTGGACCCCCTGGTGTGGAGAAAAAGAATCCGAGGACAATTTTTCACGGCTCTGCGCGTTTTCAATTAGAGGAATCGTGAGAGGGGCTTCTGTAATGAAAGCGCTCACGTTTCACGCCTCCTCTGAAAAAGGAAAACCAATCACGCCTGCGGGTGCATTGATGGATTATATTCCCTTTCCCCTCCACATCTACATCTCATCACGATCTCATCGAAGGAGACTGCAAAAAAAAAGTCCTCCCTTCGTGTTAATACGAGGGGTGATCCAAGTTTTGCAATCTATGGCATCAGTTCAAGTTCGGAGTTGCTCGATTACTTAAATGTTATAGCATGCTTAACTTCCCAGAAGCCAGGGAATCACTTCAGGATTAAGAATCACGAAAGGCAAATCTGCTTTTATTTTCATCATGGTGAAGTTTCAGAAGTGAAGATCCTCGCTCGACTTGGCGCGCCTTATGTCCACGTTTGCTCCGTTGCTTGCCATGACAAATCGACCTGAGTAATATTCGTATTCCAGATAATTTCTACTGCACTTGAATTCATTATACCAATGTCTGATGACGTATTCTGGTAGTGGGAGGGAGGGGGGAGGTTGTCTTTAAGTTACACCGGGACAAAGTTAATGGGTCACTTACACCGACAATACTGAACCATTCAGGAAAAAAAAAAACGAAAGCATATTTGTAATTTAGGAATCATGCTCCTGGACCGACTTCCCGGTTGCTGGCAAGTTAAATATGTTGTCACGAGCAACAAATTCGCGCAAGTCCGAATCTGAACCAGCCATAAACTGGCAAAACTATTGGACCCCCCCCCCCTCCTCTCCCTTGTACATGCACGGATTGATCCGATGGAAGGGCATGCGAACACTTGATGAAGGAAGTGAGAGAGGAGGAATGATTATGGCGACCATGGAGGGGGAAAAAAACCACGCGCAGTACAATAGAGTAGAGGAGGCTGGAAGAATTGAACCCACACAGGTCGGTCTTTCGATACCTTTCACGTGGGAGGAGGTTGAAGAGAAGGGTCTCATTGATCGGGCCTTTTACAAAATCAAGGTCTAGCAAATATGTGTGGGAGATACACGAGGAGGGGATAAAGGGTCGGAGGGTGAAAGACTACGGGGCATATCCTCCCTGTTCTGTTATTCCCTCGCCACCGTGTGGGATGGTGACTGATCGCAGGGTGATGGTGTAACCATTATGCATCCCCGGTATGCAACTTATTACAAACCAGACCAAGGACATGCCAACACAAATGTATAGCCTTATGACATCGATGAGGCGCGATCGCAAGTCCGGCAGGCAAAACAATCTTCATTCATTCGGTAAATGGTGGAAGCGATCCAATGCGGTGAGAAGGACTTCCATGTCGAGGCATTTTGAGGATATTTACATTGTGCTCCCTCTCCCAAGTACTGTATTATGAATGTGGGTGGATTGAGAGGCGAAGATGAATGGGGAGAGTTCCTCGTGATCTCATAGTACTTCTCGATACCATTGCATGAGTCAGCATAAAAGAATGAAATGAGACTGGGAAGCTCCAGAGTGAGAATAGAGGGGTTGAAAAGGAAGAAACTCAATTGCCATGAAGAGGAATGGGACGAGACACACACGACCTTTCTCTTTCTTTCTTCTCCCCTTTTGTTCTTTTCTCCTCTTACGATGTTACAATGCTTCTTGGTGTCTTTTCAATGTCTCGGGCTCATGGCCGTGACTCACATCTGCATGCTTAAGCAATGACCAAGAGCAATGACCAAAAAGACCGATGGCCAGATAGAAACTTACAGGCAGGAACTGGCGGCGTTGGACTTCGATCGCGGGAAATTTCTCGGAAGACTGGAGGTACTATTAAGAGAATGAAAGCCGTCGTATTCCGGGACTCGCCGAACCCATTCCGGTGCATCTCGAAGCTGAACCGAGGACCATCGACGAGACCTGAATTCCCTCATCTGCTTCTTCAATATCCCCTTCTGTACCGGTGAGGGCCCATGAAGTAGGGTCCCGGCGCATTTCGTGAATCGGAAATTCACAGTCTTCTTCGGCGTGGAATGCTGCTCCTCCGACAGGGTCTTCAGCTCAAGTTCGCAGTGGGATAAATCTATCCAATCGTCGGACTGAAGTTTCACCACTCGACCAGAACTAACGGGGAATTCGCTCTCGTAGAAGACTCGACTCTGATGCCGTTTGAAGGGATTCTCTCGTAACCGGGAACGGGACGTCTTCCCCTCCTCCTGGATATCGGGACTGTGCCCCCCGCCCGAGTCTCCGGAATCCGAGAAGCCGGAATCCTGGCTCCGTTGACTCGGACTCTGTCGAGGGCATCCTTCGACGACATCATCCCTCATCACTTCTCCTTCCCCGTTCTCACTATCCGAGTCTCGATAGGGCTCGAACGACTTCAATACGCCTCCTCCAAGCTTCCCTGCGGGCATCTTCATCCATGCACCCTGCAGAGAACGGGAAAGGAAACGAAAAAAGTCCAAATCAAACAGGCTACCTTCCATGTCGTGACTCGACGGAATCGGGCATTTACAGCTCATCATCAATTAGGGACTGACTTGTTGGATGTGAGAATTCCGTTCATCCATCATCCCACTACATCTCCTCTGTCATGTTCCCTTCAAGAAGAGGCCTTGGTATTCTCGGATCGTGGGTAGGAACCAGGAAGACCTCACTCAACAGAAGGCTTTTAACAAACCTTCCCACGTGTATCAAAGCCACATGTGGGTGGAGGAGAAAAACACTACCTAAAGCAAACTTTCTTACACCTCTTATCGTGTGTGCACAGTCAAGTACTGATAACCGGTCAAGGAAAACAATGGGTGGTAACCTTTTTGCAAGAATGTTTGACACTAGAGCACCAGAGAGCACAGTATTGTAAGAAGAGAACTCCAGACCCTGTTCCTGAGAGAACATCAAGTCCTGAATCCCTGGCCAAAATCTGGCAAGAGTAGCTCGATTCTTTTATTTCGCGCCCTTGAGTTGCAAGTGGATGGAGAATCGATAGCAACAAAAAAAGGGATTATGGAACAAATGATGCGTTGCCGTGCAGACGGTCATTCTCAAGTCCTGATACGACTAAGGACCGGTGCCATAAAACTGTCAAATCGATTTCCCTGCCCACTTAACGGATAATTACCCTGACCGACATAGCTTTTTCACACAGATCTGTGCCATCGTCAACTTCCTGTACTTATTTTCCAAGCGCCAATTGATGCAATTTTCTCAATATAAGGATGTTAGGAATTGCTACAACTTTAAAGCACTGATGCTGTAAGGCACGATAGTACCTTGTAGTACGAACCTTGGCCTAGGGTGAATATTTCCAACTCTTCATCAAACTCATTTGCATAATCACACAAGAACTCCAAGCATCCATGCTACCGCAGATTTTCGAGTCCGTGACGTTTCATCTGTTTCGGTTCATTGCTTCCGAGAGATCGCGTAGTGCGCGGTTGGGGATCTTCCTCCTTACACGTGACATACGCCACAAGGCATTGGAGATTCCAAGTCCTTGAATGCACTCTCATACCGGAACTTCATCTAACCCCTCCGCCTCTTTTATCAACTATCTAAACCTCAACCTCATCTAATTGCGCGTAACCTCAACAAGGTGACAGTGGCTTCACTCACTTTAGATTCCTGAATATATTAATACATTCCGACCCAAACCAGATTTTACAATTACAGTAAGTCCTCAATTAACGACGTTACATCGGAACGACGCAACGCATATGGACCATTTTTCCCTAATATGTTAGCGACGTTATATAGAAATTACGTAAATCGAGGACTTCCTGTATACACTCTTGAACTTCATGGAGTATTTCGTAGTATCTAGTTGTGACTTCTATGCGTGCATGCCAACTGTAATGACTGTCTTAATTAGCAAGACATTCTGGAGCTCTAGAATGTATTAATATAATAATCGTGACCTATTGTTACCGTGCATAATGAGTCGGTATGCGGTCACTTTGAACAGAAACACTGCAATTAAGGACGAAATTTTGGAGAGATGACTAAGTCATATTTCCTTGGCCAAGGATTCATTTGTCTAGTCAATAGGCTTGTTTGTCCAGAAAAATGAAATCAAAGCATTTATTCTAATTAATACTTTATGAGGATGCAAATTCATGCTCATGCTTTGGTAATGGATCTTAAATTTTTCGTATCGAAAGATAAGCGAAAATGGAAAGTGGAGTTAAGTTGGAAGAGGCTGCGATGTTGTTTTTATTTATTTATTTTTCCCTTCGGATACTTTGAGGAAATACTGTGCATGCAACGACAGGCTGGGTATAAATCAGCACTGAATCCGTGTACAGTCTATCTGGTCCAACCTTGCTACGCCGTCATGGCCTCTTTTATGGTAGCTCATTAATCAGGTGGTGTCTCCCGCTTGTCAATACCTTAGAAAGGGGCTCCGAGGCCATCAACGGCGGACCAAGGTCTAAGACAGGTATTTTCTGCGGAGAAGTCCGAGTGAAAACGTAACATTTAACGGAGTTTAAACCAGTTACATGTGATACCTCCACATCCCAAGTGCCGCACGCCTGTGTCTCGCTGAAGGATGAAAGGCCAAGTCACCCTCTTCCTTTATCGGAGAGGGAGACAGATGACATGTAATGATCCCCTTGAGGATTATAAGTGTAGCAAGGTTGGGCAGGATAAACTGCATGCGAAAAATGGTCTAAGTTTGATGACGTGAGAGCTTGTACGGAATGTAATTTCTTTTGAACGGGAATGCACTTTCCCCCGAGAAGCGAATGAGATGCATTTCTTAACATACCCCCAGGGTCATTCCTCTGGACTAGGTACATCATTAGAAGCCCAAAACTCTTCGATGCGAAGCAGAGTAAGAATCTAGCAGGATCAAGCCGCAAAAAGCAAGGAAACAATGACTTCAGGGCGTTAGAGTCGCATGACTTGAAAAACATGCTGGGCCGTGCCCTTTCCCTGAGAAGAGATAAATGTCCTCGCATCTCACTTTTTCCTCGTCTAACGGTGATGAAGTGAGCTTGCAGTGACACTAGGTCACAAATTCATTGAGAAAATAATCAGTTAAGAAAGAAAGCTGTTGTCTCCTCCATTCACACCTTTCACTATTTCAAAACCCTCATGTGCCCTCGGGAAATCGGGATTTGTAAGCTGTCAATAGCACAGAAGTAATTGAAAGGCCCATGAAGAATGCGGAATCAGGGTAGTTCTGCTGACGGAAAAGTCAGAAAAACATCTAAGTCTTCTAGGCCTGGTAGTCATTGAAAATGTTTATAAACCTCTTTTCGTTTCCAGGCATTTTCATCGTGTCAAAGACAAGATGAAAATACGCCTATCCTGGTCAGGTTTCAATGTCACTGGCATATTTGGATTTGAGTTCCTTCTCTTGTTTGCAAGGGTCCCTGGAGATTGCTTCTCGAAGCAACCACGTTTTTGTATGCTTTTCAATGTTACGTGTCTTTCTCTGAAAAGTCTTGTTTCCTTGCTTTTGAGCCGCGTTATCCCACATGATTCTTACTCCCTCAGCACCATAAGTTTTGGCTTTCTAGTTTCCCTGGATAAAAAGGTGTTGAAGCAATATCCCAGACTCCTCCCCGGCTTTTTGACCCAATTTATATTTCCAGGCCTGTGGGAGCACTGCCAGGAAAGGACGTCACCAATTGCATAAGGCCTACGGCAGCTAATAAAAAAAAGACGTCTGGAAAGCCCGAAGAGACGGCGTATGAGAGGCGTGAGTGGAGTTACGCGTCACGTACTTCAACCCTCTTTCCCTCCCTCGCCCAGGTGCAACGAAAACGGAGAACGAAAGCAAGAAATGAAGAAAAAAAATCGGGAGAAAAGAGGAAGGAGTCATGGGCGACGTTCTAAAGAACGAGTGCGCTTGCAAGTCTCAACCTTCAGCGAACGTTCCTCGAGCATTTTCAAGACATGACTGACGTCATAGGTCTCAGACTAAAAGCCGTCATTAAATGTAATTATGACGACTTGATTGGGCTCACACCTGTAACTGTGTAGCATAAGGAGCTTCATGCATTTTATCTACCATTTTATCATTTTATTTTTATCGAACCTAGTATACAGCACGTGGTGTCCTTGATGCCTGTACCGAGGTCGGTACTTCCGAAGTGGTGCGCGTGTAAGTCCTCCAAACCCCCTTTGGGAATTTTTAATGATACACCACGGTGTGCATGGATCTGTGCAGGAAAAAATGCGATGAAATCCTATCTCCATAATTGATATTTGGCATATTCATGATTGAGGGTTCACCCTTCGTCCATTACGGGATGCAAGAGCAAAACGCGTGAACGGGGATGACACCATCTCTGATACGACCAGAGAATAATATCCGTCTTTAAAATATCCAACACACAATACCTTGGCGGTGTGGTTTAATCCGATAATGGAGAGATTTCCCCGGAAACACCTGCGGGAATCATCCATCTGCGGCTTTTCCCTCCCTCTCTCTATTACAAAAGGCTGAATACCGGTACCCTAGAGGAGAATTCCAAGACTTAACCCATTATTTCCAACCGGAATATGGTTCTTTTGGCGCCTATCACGGTTTCCCATTTCTTGGCTTTCCTGTTGCAATGCATCACGCGAGAGAAAAAACTGCATTCCATCGGCTGCCTCTCTATGGGTTGCGCGAGGTGCAAACGAGGTGTGAAATAGCCAAAGGGGAATGTAACATGATGGGTGGAATTCGCAGCCGTCAGTCTGTAGTCTAACCTCGGGTGGCAGTCAAAGGTCAAATACAAGCGTGTGAGAACAGAAGCTTTTGCCAGCGAGTTGAGAAAAACTGGAGAGCCGCACCCAGTTTCATGGGAATGATGCAACAACTCTCTGGTCATCTGCCATGGATGAATGCCTCTTTATACTTCTTGCCAGATTACACCCGACAACTCCTTCATTCATCCTTGCATGCCCCATGCCACGGTCTCGATCTCGGCATTCTCTCCCTAGGCCACCTCCTTGGAACGGATTTCATCACGATTTCTTACAAATTATAACGTGACTTTTGTAAAGACGTCAATATAAGAGAACTAGACCTTGTAGAAGTAGAATAGCGCAACTACTATGACACGACATGTTATTCGCAACTTTTCGCAGTACCCGGTAGCTTCCCGAATGGAAAGCTTAATTAGTCCTTGAGGAAAGAGAAAGAGACCTTAAAAACCCTCTGATCCAACCATCACTTAGTTGACCACACCCCTTTGCGAAAGGGATCCATGCAGATCCACCAGGCTCGTGATGCAATCTCTCTTTCCTCCCTCTTCCGAAAGACATGGGAAAACTTCTGTCGCAAGAGAGAGAAAAAAAATTAATCTCTGCTTCACCTTTGTCCAAATTCGCCTTGAAGGTTCAGCAGTTCATCTCACTCCAAGGATGGAATATGATCATGTTTCCTTCCTGGTGGCTGTATCCTTAGATGAAACATGCGTGAAAGAAAGGTCGAATCGAGATTCCCATCCCTTCTAAGTCTGCAATGACCTTAACTCTCGTAATCCATGAATTAAGGTCATACCTGAGAAGCTTTCCATGAATGATTATGGGAAGGGGTGCCCTTCGAGAGGAGCAGCCTTCGGGAAAATCTGTCGCTCACGGTGAAATAAAAAATGACAGAAGAGGAGATTGGAATGAATTCTGGGATATGAAACGGTGTTGGCAGGAAATTCCCACGAATTGACACAGTTTACGAGATTTCCCCAGGCTGGGAGTTTAAAAGGAATGGCGAATAATATTACGGGGAAGGGAGTTCCGCGTGCCAGGTTCTACTAATGGATATGTCCTCTCTGGGAATGGGGAGCCCTGAAAGAATCATGCAATTATGTAAGAGGCACACGGGGTGCACTATGGATGGATGGGTGTCCAAGTGAACCCATTCATCATGACTCGGCAAGCATGCATGGCACATGGGGCCAATTAATAACTGGATGACGAGGCGAAAAAGAAGTCGTCTCCAACCACTTCCTGCCATGCAACTTTCCTGACTTAAATCCTAGGTGCTTTCAAGGCTCCTGTCATGTTATACTTTCACCCAATTTTTCAACAGGGTGACTGTTCACTATGGATCGGTCCGAGGGTCCAAGGTCTCTAAAAGAAGAAAGGGAAATGCATTCCTCTCTTTCAATCGGGCCTAGTCTTTGAAGCTGACTACGGCCGGGTAAGGCCAGTCAACTCCATCCATATTGGGGAGCTAACTTGATCTAAATGGCTGTTTTTGGCATCTCAGGTCAAGATGAGACAGAAAGATGGCAAAAAAACGGAGAGCCATGCAATTTACAAGTACATCTGTGCAAAGGACTTTCTCTTCTCGAAAGCCAATTTGAAATTATGCTTCTCGTGCTTGCTAGTTTAAGGCAACAACAAAGTAAAGGCATCAGGATTGTGAAACGTTCGCGCTCTTGGACGATAAACTGTAAAGCCAATTTTTGCGAGGCGAAAATTTTGCGGATTTTTTATAGTCGACTGCTTCGCTGGACATAAATTGGCATTCGCGTCATTTCTTTCTTTACATTTTGCACATTCGCATTCTGCTAGTCACTCCG